AAAAAAAAAAAAAAAAAAAAAAAAAAAAAAAAGAAACATTAGATTAATAGAAAAAAGTAAAAAGGAAGCATTGAAAATTAAAAATCTTTTTCCGTCTAAAATTCTTTAAATCCAACAAGTTATTTAAGCACAACTGAGCGATAATTGATGAGATGATGGAAAACACACACACATAAACATTCACACACACACACACACACAGAGGCACACGCGACACGCACTCACGCTGACATACACACATATACGAACCGTCATGCAAACACAGACATAATCATCTATGAAAAATGGCCATAAAAAAGACGAGATCATTAAAAATAAACAATTTTAATTCATGAAGCCCAAGTCAACATACATGTAACCAAAAACAATACTTTTGTAAAAAATAATATCCTAGAAAAACCAGACATTATACTTGATGAAGAGCCTGAAGACGGCGATGACATGTCATGGTAGGGTTCCTCTTCAAAGTCAACAATATCCTCTGGTAGCTCATCAACCACATGAATTTTCCAACCCATATTGTACGTTGAATAACTCTGTAATCATTGTTGCAAGAAATATTGATCAAGTTCAATAATTATGAACACAAACTGATGAAAACTACTGTAAGTTTATGACCGGTAGTTCATACAGCTTTTCCTTCACACAAAAACAGGCAAACAATGCATTATCGAGTCTTGAATCCCTCCTACAGTATCTCTGAGGCTTGTACAAAGTGTAAAATTGTATGTAAACGTGTATATTTCTGTGTCTGTCAAAGGATCTGTTGTTTGGTAAATCAAAGACAAAGTGAAATAAACTGCTGAGAAACAAAATACCTGGTAGTATAGTGTGTCGGGTGTTCCAGAATCTGGCGTAAATATGAATGATGCTGTTTTCGGTGAGTCACCACATTTCAATTTAAGGGTTTGTCTGTAGCTTGTAAAATTGTCATATTTGTCTGGGTCTCGAGTATCTTCAGTTTGGGACCATAAGCACAGCCGACCAGCTGTTTCCATTGCATCTTCACCGGCAACAATTGTCACTTGCTGAAAAATATATATATACGCAACATCTTTTGCATTTTAAAGCTCTTCTTACATGTCGCCTTTTTGTGCCTATACCGTCTTTTTTGCGAAAAAAGATAAAAAAAGAAGACGAAGCCCCTAATGAATAGCCTACAGACGCCTTAAGAAGCTTTAATGGAAATGAGCATGTCAACAAAAATTTGTTATGACAGTTGTACCGCCGGCAGCTGATCATCACTAACTAACTGACTAGCTAACTAACCAAATAATCAACTTGTTGAGAAAACACTCTGAGAGTTATTATAAAAATAATTATAGCCTACAACCACTTAACTGCTATCTTCAGTCGACGACAAAGTGTTGCCTTTGCGCTACTTTTTTTTTTGTCCTTTTTGCATGGTGCTTCTTGTCCATCCATTCATTTATTTATTTTTCTTTTTTGTTCCTTCGTTTTGATAAAAACGATTTTTACTGAACATAGAAATAATTCTTAACGAATAGAAAAAAAAAGTGCAGAAGTTAAAAAAGTTCATTTTATTACAAAAAAATTGTATTATTTATTTTAGCAGCACTTTGAGCAGGACAAAAACTTAAAAATTCTTTAAAAATTGCCAACAAGAATCAACTAGCAGCGCAGACAGTCCAGTGATTAATGGTCATTAATAGACGAAACTGGTTCCTTATCACCGCTGTCAGCTTTTTCCGCTGATTGCCACCGCCTCCACCGATTACCCATCACTTCCATATTTTAATTTCGTAGCACAATAAACGCACTAATTAAGCAAAGGTGCTTTTTTTTATGCTTTTCGATCTTTTTGTGCATTTTAAAACGAACAAGAAAAAAAACTTTTTTTTTGCAAAATTCAACTTATATATTACAGTTGTCAAACTAGCCAAGTCAGAGAAAGACAAATGGAATGAACACTGCCGCGATAATTGACAAGGAAAAACCTTCAGCGTATCAGTTACTGTTTTATGGCTTTCCCGTCCACTTCCCCTTCCCACCCCGTTCCGTGAAAAAAGATAGTCGCACCTTAAGCCGAAGTTCAATACCAAAATTTTATTCTTACTTGTTGCCTTTCCCTCCTGGCACAGCCAGCAACGGAATTTAAATGAGAAGTTTCATTAAAAAAAAAAAGAGAAAAGAAAACAAACCGGGAAAAAAATAAATAAACAAGCATTTAATCAACTGACAACAGTACATACCTTACGTTCATCTTCAGAAAGTTTTGAATAACCACCAAATGGATCGTCGGAAAGGTACAAAGGATTATAAAAGTCTGCCGTAGACTTATCAGCGCCACCTTCAACACTAAAGACAAACAAATGTGACGTACAAATATTCTCTTCCTCCACCTCACCTCCTTTTCAATAATGAATCAGATATAATTTTAAGAAAAGTAATCTTGCAAGCGTTTAAAGAAATAAGGCTTACTTAAACGTATAGTTAACACCTCGTTTCAGATACAGTTCTGCCAGATAACCGTTTACATACCAAACATACTTCGCAGGCCGTGCCTGTGCCATTGCCTAAATAACATAAGAATAAATTCCTTTTTGAATTGACAAGTTATTACAACGACGCCTATTCTTCAAAAAATATTAGTACAAGCGAGGAAAAAAAGTGGCATAAAAAGTATACCTGATACCCTCGTCGACCACCCGGTGGCCCAAGTTGGAAGGTGAAACTTCTACGTTTTTCGTTACCCAGTAACGATGTAACCTTCCACCCTTGAATCTTCGAAAGATCAGCATCTTCGTGCTAAAAATTAAACAGCCTCATAGTTAGTCTCATAATGTCCCCGTTCCATCATTTGTGGCATTTCATCATGAATCTATACTTTCTGTTCACTTTTTTTTAAATCTTTTTGCAACAGAAATGATAAGTACCCTTTTCTGTGGTGGTACATGGGGTGGAATTCTTTGCGAGATGTTATTTATCGGCACGTGACCAAAATCTACACGGAACTTGTAACAATAGATGGACAGCCAGTCAATATGATAGATGTCGTAGTCGTCTGGCAAATCAATGATAATATCTTGTCCGCCACGATATCGTTCGTTCATTGCTGTTATTCTGAACGTAACGGAGCATTACACTTTCAGATGAAGGAATCATCTTGGAAACTCATTCTTCTTCTTTTTTTTTAAGCCAGGAAATTTACACGACAATAAATTATCTTGTAACTTACAACTCAGGTGTATCGCGGCCACGAATTGGTACTTTTATTCCAGCATCATGTGCAACGTTTGGACCTCTACCAACAAAGAAGTATCCATCTAAATTATGCCGGTATCAGTAAAATTAACCAACCGTTTTGGCACAAAAAAAAATGTTGAAATTTACGCTTTTTTTCAGTAACACGTACCCGGGGCTTTGTCACCGTCAAATTTAAATGCAAAGATTTTGATTGTTTTTCTGTCTATCACCAACAGTGGTCCAGAATCAACATTATATCGGCTTCCTTTCAACGTCAATGTTGTATCACCAGAAGTTAAAAATTGAACTTTTGGAATCATCAAATTCTGAGGTATCGTAATCGAACCAAGGTTATGCTGCAAAAAAATTTTGATATTTTCCAAATGGAAAAATATTCTCAGCAAAAATACTTTTTTTTTCCAAAAAAAATACAAATATCTATTATTTTTGCTAAATTAGCATTAAACATTGTTAAAGCATAAACTTACACCAAATTTTAGGCAATACAGTGAAAAACTTCGAAATGAATTAATTTTATGGAATCCTGGCAATACCAATACCACTCGACTTGAGTTATACTCTTTTATTGGCGTTAATCTAAATGACTTCAAAATGATTAAAAGTATCACTTCTTATTGAAAATTAATCTACCGAAAAAAAAAACACACTAAGAGACAGTTAGTCTCACTTTGAGTTGTAATCGGTAATAATATAATTGTCAGCAAAAAAAACTACTGCTGAATTATTTTTATTTACATAAAAATACACAGATTTAGAGAAAAAAAAATAATTTTTAAAGTACTTTTAAAATTTTTGAATTACAATACATTTTTATAATTGTAAAAGGAGAAAAAAAACACTTATTTTTCGAAATCAATTATTACTGTTGTTTAAAATAGAGACAAAAAAAAGATTAATAGTGACATTAAAGAAATAATGAACCAAAAAAAAAAAAAAAAAAGAACATTTAGCTGTATTTAAAACAAACCCATATTCAAATGTTGGAATTTTTAAACCTTCTTTCGTCGGTGATTCATTTCTGTCCAACCAAAAATAGGCATCTGAAAATGACAAAAATAAAAAATTGCTGACAAATTACTGTTAAATCAATCGAAACTATTTTTCTAAAGAAACTTACGTCTTTAGCACTAAACAATACAGACTTAAGTTTAAACAATTGGTGTACGGTGTTCTACAACACTTCATTTTCTAAGATTGTGTAAACCAATAAATCAAAACAAACTAAGAGACAAGAAAAAAAAAAGAAAAGAAAAACAATTTTCTTAAGTTTTCCTCATATATCTTTTCACCTCATCATCGGTCACATGTGTCTACAATTTCACAACTATAACAGCACATTTCGGTAGTAAATGGATAAGAACAGAACAAAAAAAAGAGCAGGATCTTATTTCTTTCCCCCATTAACTTAAATGTTTGTCATTGACAACGGTAACAAATTTGGTAAACTTCTTTGATCATCACCTAAACGCTATACTTGACAGTGCTACAGGTGAAAGATATCATTAGGACAGACGGTATCAGTAAAAATTTTTGCCAACTGTAACTACAATTTTTGTCATTTCAGTTCGTCAAACGTGTAAAATCCAATGCAGAGACTTCTTCAATAATAAAATCAATTAGATTAAATTTAAATGTTCGATTTATTCAACCGGAAAAAATCAACAAAACAGTTCTCAGTTTTTACAGTTAGATATATGTTGTCACCATGCAATTTCTGAATGATTTGTTTTTAAGGGTATCAAAAAAATGACTGTGCCTATAGTGGTTGTCCAGCATAAAGATTGGTTTCGCTTGCTGCTTGCACTTAATGTGTCAGTTTAATCCCAAAGTCATTCTCCCCTTACA